TCCCGATACATCTACAGATCTGTGTCGCACTTACCGTCCTTAGCGTGTGAGTCAAGACGCTTACCAGATACTTAAACTTCCGTGACTGCTTGATTCTAGATTTCCCGACCTTCAGATCGCATTTAGGGCTCATCCTCTTACTGACGACTATGCACACAGTCTTCTTGGAGGCAACTCTCTCCTTGAAAAAATGTTTTGCTTGAAATACGTGTTAAAAGTGTATGATCTCTTTAAGACAAACGTATTCGTAATTATATTTTTACTACTAAAACTTCGCCCTATACAAGGCCCAAGAGAACTCAAGATACGGTGTGAAGTTGTATGGACGTAAGCGGAGGAAGTAAGTACAGATTACGAGGAAATGAAGTATAGATAATGTTGATACTAAACTTGAAGAGGTTAACATTGTAATGATTGGAGAAGCATCCTTTAGGGAGTGTTTGACAGAATAACAATTCTGGGGAAGATTCTGTCTGAGTAGAATTTTCTCTTTATCAGTGGAATACGAAAGGAATGAAAATGATCTGATCCTGTGTACATGGCATGGTGGGTAATTAGCTGGTGGAAGCAAGGATTGTAGCTCTTCTGAACATTTGCTATAGAGTAGCGATGGGTTTCAGCTTTTCGTCTGTGAGAAAGTGCGTGAAAATAATTCATCGCCCATTTCTGAATTCTGTCAAGGCTGGAACGTTAAGAGTGGGTAGCTCCAGCCCAAATATGGCAACAATATTCCTGTTTTTTTTTTTTTTTTGTTTTCTTTTGGGGCGGGAAGGGGACTTCAGCACTTTACTTTTCTCTTTTTCATATTTAGATTGGGACGACAGATAAAAACGAAATAAAAAGAGAGTAAAATAAACTGAAAAAACTAAAGTTGTCAATTTATAAAGAATTATTCTTCTTCGTGTGCCGACGTAGGCGATCATGGCTCTCCGCAACTTCTTGTCCTTTCTAGCTCTTAATTAAATTTATCTTCTGTTATTTCTCTTAAACCCTGTCCCGCCATCCATCTAGTCATGCCCTCTAAGTAGGTTATGCGTTGGTCTCCTCTGTCCTTCTTTCCTTTAATTTGTTTCGGGAATATCAGATTTTCCAAACCCTCTTCCTCATTATGCCTTTCTGGTGTTAAGTATAAGTTTCCTTTTGTTTCCATTTTCTCTAAAAACTTCATAGCGATGTCGTTCTTAATTTATATAATAAATTCGAACGTCAGTGAGTCACGTGTCACTGTGTAAAACTTTTTCAATTAAAGGGACACAACTCTCCAACTTTCAATATCTCATCTTTATCTATATAATACATGTGATTGTCAATGCGTCACTGTGTATTTTTTCAACTTTGCATTATAGGCCGTAGCCCAACATATACCATTTTGGAATCAGACCGACACCGTGAGCAAATTGAAAACATCCCGGTTCGGATCCACACCCGCAATCTTGAAATTTTGAATTCCCAAGGTTTCATTGCTGAAATTGTTTTCGGTCATTTTTTACGTGATTTTTTGCAACGATTTTTTCGTACGATAACAATTTTTTTTTGGTGTGTCGGAGGGGGGGAATAAATTTGGCAACAATCGAAATTAATTGCGAAATCCAACGAAAGTCACCCATGAAATAAAAATAACTGTTTGTATGGAAAGTAAGGACCTACGTACATCAAATTGTCTTTAAATTAAGTGTCGGCAAGAGAATAATCATTGAATTTTTAAAAGGCAAGCTTAAATATTAATGCAATATTTAAATGCAGCGATTAATTTTGAGTTCTTCTGCAGTTTATTGTTGCCTCTCGCATTTATAGTGGGGGTGGCTTTTAAGCTCGTATTAAAATAAATGATAAGATATTTTTGATTTCGAGATTAATTTAAAAATACCGTAACTACCGGTCACAAAACGAACACTTCTCCAATATGACTCTATATTTTACCTGTTGGTATTATGTGTTACAGTTTTTTTGTGTATATGTTATATAACTTGTGAGTCAGTCAAGATGACTTAACTCCCTTTATAGTCCACCAATAGAAGGCTAACCAATCAGAAGCCACAGAACATTGCATCCGTCGTGTATAAAGGCGGCCATTTTTGTTTTCCTACCCGAATGACCAGTGCCAACTTGCCCGGCGAAGGAAGAGCTACGCTTTCCTACTTTGCTCCAAATATTCACTGTTAACCTCTGGATTCTATACTCGAAACGACCGTCAAAATGTCTAACATTATGTACAGGAGGCCGGTTCAATTTTGATTGATTGATTCGTTTTCTACGGCTTATTAATTCCTTTCAGTTTATTTAAAGCCAGCAAATATTTCTAGACTTTATTTTTATTTTATTTTTGATAATAATGGTTTAAAGATACAAGTCTTACTGTTATAGTAATTCATATTATTACCATGAATGAAGTGGTTTCACACCTTTCCCAAGAGAATCTGCGCGTAATTGAATATATCGAACCAGACAGGAATTGGAACTCAGCTCTACGATTTTAATTACACCATCCGTACATCCAAACTTACAGCGACTCGTATTCGCAAACGGTCACCCCTCTAGGTACTGACCAGGCGCAACGTTGTTTAACTTCGGTCATCGTATGGGAACTAGTATTTCAACGTGATGTGGCCGTAATTCTAAATCCACATGCCTCGATCTGTACAACTTTACAGCTAAGACCCATCATGCCACGTATACAGGATCGAATCCTCCTAATTATTTCCGTAACCATTAGTAAGAAGGTCAAGTCATAGTTTCTTCCCGAGAATCTATACTTTATGGAACAGACTCCCAAGATGGTGGTTCTATGATCTCCACAATTTTAACCACATATAGTCTAGTGTCAACCGTTATCTATCCTACATATCCTCATAATCTACCTGTTCTTCCTACTCTTACAGCCATCAAACAACCTAAACTTCTACATTGAGGGGCTCTTAGCCTTGCATTTGGTGAACATTTAACATGTTTTTAAAAATGTTGTAATTTGGTATAAACTGTGGCGGACATCGTTCAAATAATGCCATTATCAAATAATGCCATTATCAAATAATGCTATTATCAAATAATGCTATTATCAAATAATGCTATTATCAAACATGTACTTTACAGATAACTTGAAAAAAATCTGGGTTATTTTTAGAAAGAAACAAAGAAAGAAATAGAAGATAAATATTTCTTTCTTTTTATGTGCCATGTCCTTTCAGGACGTAGGCGATGATGGCTCTCCACCTCCTTCTATCCCAAGCAGCTCTCAGCAGCGAGGGAGAGAGGGAAGGAACTTCCCTCTGCTACCTCCCCCAGACCACGTTCTGTCATCCACTTGCTCAAGCCCGCTAGGTATGTCGTGTTGTTTTCCCTTTCTCTTTCTCTTTATTCGACTCGTGAATATCAGATTCTCCAGGCACTCCTTCCTCATTATGTGTCCCAGAAACTTCAGCTGCCTTTTCCTGATGTTAAGTATAAGCCTCCTTCTTGTTTGCATCCTCTTTTAGATCTCATCGTTGTTTACACGCTCGGTTCATGTGATCCTTAGCATCCTTCCGTAGAAGTCGCCTCGAGTCTCTTCTTCATCTTTGAGGAAATCGTGCAGCATTCGATGCCGTAAAGAAGGACAGATGTCACATACTTAGCTTATTACGGAGCAAAGCTATAAAAGTGGGGTAACTAGTGAGATTCGGATTCACTACAGGAGTAGTGTAATAGTCAAGGTGCTCACTAATTACTACGACACAACGAGGTATCCTAGAAAAAAATAAAGAGAAAAAAAAGCCAAGAACGTCTATACTGTAGGTTTTATTAAATGATATCTTAACGCACATAAAGTTTCATTTCATCTGATCCGAAAAGTTATACAAGACTAGGGCAACAGATAGAAATAATTAGAATATTTTAACGGTTTTCTAACAGAGCAAGATTCCAACTGATGAGTGATTGAAATTCTGATTTCACCGGCTTTAGTCGCTGACTTTTGCTACTAAATCACTGTACATATAATCGGGGTGGTGGGACTCATTTAACACAAAATAAATGAAAAAAAAGACATTTCAACACAGAGAAACGTGACGTACAGTGCATTCAAAGTACTGTCAATTTTACAAGTACAAGACTGACCAACCTTCCCCCAAAATGTGGCATTATTTTTTTTTACTTAATTTTCCTTACGATGCGCTCACGTGATGCAATTTGTATTACCGGACGAGAATGGAAACTAGGCGACGACGACGACGACGATGAAGAAGAACAACAACAACAGTAACAACAGCAGCAACAACAACAATAAGAAGAACAAGGACAAGACCAAGAACAACAATAAGAACAAAAAAAAAGTGTTGTAGAAGATGAGAACGAAGATGAGTATACGAATATGGAAAAGAAGAAAAGTTAATAATAATAATAATAATAATAATAATAACAACACCATTAATAATAATAATAATAATAATAGAAGAAGAAGAAGAAGAAGAAGAAGAAGAAGAAGAAGAAGAAGAAGGAAAAGTAATAAGAATGAAATTTTTCCTGCTCGGAAATCAATATTTCTTTCACTCTCTATTTCGAGATGAAATTGACCTTTGAACTGGAAAATATCATAATGACTTTTCATATACCCGACTGAATAAGCTATTAATTTTTTTTTTATAAATGTATGCAATCAGAATTTCATTTCAGTCTCAACGTTTAAACTTATTTTTCATTTTTACTCGGGAGTAAGTGATAAATTAGTGATTTCACTTAAATTATGACTAGAGAATAAAAAAAATAGTCTTTGATTGTCTACGTGTGTTTTGATGAATGATTTACAGCGGGAATGACGTTTCCTGTTAAAGCGGCTTCACTCAGAACGAGGTCAGACGGAATGGAGCGGGGGGGGGGCATATGAGCGTGATTAAATTGACACCGCTATCAAATGTCAGCAAGATTATTGATACAGAATCAATGGGGAAGACATTTTTTTTTTACCTTTTATTCTGTCAAAAATGCTTTTGCTGATTTTTTCTTTTGAATTACCTTTATCGGTGATTTTATATATATATATATATATATATATATATATATATATATATATATACATGCATACACACATATATATATATATATATATATATATATATATATATATATATATATATATATATTCCTTTTTACAACACTTATTGTCTATCTTTTCGAATGGAGACGCTTCGATAATTGAGATCCTTATTCCTATGCGATTAAGGGTTAGTTAATTAGTCTTGGTTGTCTGGGTGATGGGCGAAGTTTTAAAAATTATTAACAAAAAAGAACTTGCCTCTTCCTAAATCAGGAAAATTTGCTTTAACACATCAATGGCCGCCTTCTCAATTTTGGGGTTATAAATAGAAACCTGTGAATAATCATATTCGATGTGTTATGCCCCTAATACCCTAATATATTCAATTTACAAATCCTTTGTAAATGAGCCCAGATATCTTTATATTGACAATGATTTCAAAAATGAAAGTCAAAAAATACCATCTTAGAGATACTTCATAAAGTGGGTTTTTTGTTTGCTAGTCTGAAATTGTTAAATTCGTACTAATCTCTAGATCATCGCTGCAGCTTCAGATAAAAATGAAGGCAGTTTAAAAGTCCCAGAAAATGATTGGCTGATATCATACAATAGATCTAAAACTAAACATATAACATTATATCACCACTGAGAAGAACCTAAACCTGCAGCAATCCTGATGAGTGGTCATACCATCAAAGAGGCTTCTTGTTTCGAACGCCCACTGTTTCGTAATATGTAGTTGCAGTATTTTTTCTTACTCTTTTCGGAGCTATTTTTCTCAACAACAATCTCGTTTTCTCTCCTCTTCCCAGCCTCCGCTTTCCTGACTGAATATGTGTTCATATCTACCAAATTACACAGAAAAAAAAACTCAGTCCTTCATCAGGATTATATACATATTCTGATATGTGTTTTGGACAGCGTCTGATGTAAGAGAGGTTGAAGAATTTTTCGTTTTCTTCAGAATTATATCCAACAACTCCTGTTGTTGTTTTTGTAGTTCTAGCAAGTGTTGATCTTTTTGTTGTTGCTGTTGTATTTCACCCATCGAAGCCAAAATCTGCTCCATATTCGCAAAATATGTTTTTTTTCCTACAACCAAGAGAATTTTTCTTCTACAAAACAAGAATTTTTTTTAAAACCAGTGTTGTTAAAATTCTTATCGTCACCTTGATCCTTGTTCTCGAAACATCAAGTATATCTTTCCGTACTTGTTCACTCAGTATAAGTTTCCAAAACCCTTTTAACTCCAGTTAAAACTCATATGAGTTACTGAATCCTCGTTACTGTTGTAAGTCGTAAGAGTTCCGAATCCTCGTCACAACGGTTATAAATCGACTGAATTCCGAATCCCTCGTCGCCACTGTTATAACACGCTCCGTAGCGCTTATAATATAATGCTTCGGCTGGTTGCTGTGATGCCAGTATTAATTAGTCTGAAGTCTGCTACTGCTGCTTATTATTATCATTATCATAATTTTCTTCATCTTCATGTCATCAGTTTTCAACTCAGTATCTATATTGATGACACAACTACTTACTCTTGTTTTAATTGTATGTCTGATTGGTTCGATAAAGCCAAATTGGCAGCTCATCTAAAAAATGACCTACAATCTGTTGCTAACTGGGGCAAAGAATGGCTTGTTAATTTTAATACCTCCAAAATGAAACCGTTTAATCGTATGAAAGAACACCTTTTTATGCCTTCCATGGCTGATGCTAACCTCCGGGACAGTGACTCATTGCACTTTCTCGGGTTAAGGTTTTTCGCTGATATAAAGTGGAAAGATTATATTGAAACGATAAGAAACATAAGAAAAGAAATCCCTGTTAGATCTCGTATGAGTTCCCAAATCCTCGTCACAACGGTTATAAATCGCCTGAGTTCTAAATCCCTCGTCACCACTGTTATAACACGCTTCGTAGCGCTTACAATATAAGTAATGTATTAATTAGTCTGATGACTGACTCCAAACGGCTTCTAGTATTTACCAAACCTCCTCACAAGGCAGGATGTGGAACAAGGCCAGGTTTTATGTGGGGCGTTCCTAGCCCGTAGGCCCAGGCAAAATATTTCCCGTAGACCCTGCATGCACTGGATCGGGTTTGTCTACCTCATCAGACGAGATTCTGCCTGTAGGCATAGCCTTGTCTGGGTCCGTCTCTGCCCGAAGGGAGAGAGTTCAACAAGTCAGCCGCGAGTCTGGCAGGGAACTGCCTGACTCCAATCGGCTTCTTCTTACTTCTGACTTGGAGCTCTTTATTTATAGTTATGTACTAGTTTATATAGTCACCAGGGTGTACTATTTACTTTACAACAATGGTCGACCATACTTTCAAACAGAGGTAGGTTACGAAATATTACGTAATACAAAAATTTTAAATTATTTTTAAAATCTTAAAGCAAAATACAATGAATTAATCTTTTCAATTTTTTATTAGTAAATATGGTTTTAACCTAATAACAATATCACCTAACCGGATGAAAGTAATGCAAAATTTTAAGATATTTTTATATTATAAATTGTTATAATTAATATTTTAAAAAATGCAAACAATTCTTGTAACAATTCATTATTCATCAAAATTTTTTACTTAGGACAA